CCCGAGCACAACTAAACTACCTACTAAATACTTTCGTTTTTTTTTTTTTTTTATATCTAATAGCTCTCAAATACCTGAATATTTTTTACTTGGGTATTTAGCAGCTCCTAAATACCTAAGTATTGTTTACTTGTGTATTTAGCAGCTCCTAAATACCTCAGTAAATAGTACTTTGGTATTTACAACCACATAAAATACCTAAATACTTTTGTAGTTAGTATTTAATACTTAGTAAATACAATTTTGCCCATCACTGAATGAAAGGTTGCCGGACATTGGAAAATGTTGCAAATTTTAAAAGTATATTGTCTCTAGTTTCTAAAAATTCAAAAATTAAAATCATACATACAGGGCTTTTCGAGAAAAGTGCATTTTAAAATTTTTATTTTAATTTCTTGCAATTTTAAAATTTTCATTTTTACATTTTCATTTTCATTTACATTGGCTGAATTTCTTTATTTATTCTGAACGTTTGGAATAAACTTTTTTGTCTACTTATTCTTTAGAACGCCCCTGATGATATGTTAACGTATATTTCAAACGCATTCTGTTTATTCCGGCTGTGAAATGCGATTATCCAGAATGTATAAAGAAACGCAGCCATTATATTATATATACCAACGGTGGGCAAACGTGGTTGCTTTTGGATATAATTCATTGACGTATACTTGAAGCCTCACAAAATTGTTTTGGATTTGCATCAATTTGCTGCATAACTTATGAATTATAGGTGTTTAAATTTAAAAAAAATAATGAAAACAAGTGAATTTTTTATGTAATTCTTATGAGGGGCAAAATTAATTATGTCATAACTTTTGAAGCACACCATATTCTGACTTGAAATTTAATGGGCATTTAGCACTCTTGTGTATACTTCATATGTAGTAGGTAAGAAAAGTGCGCATTACAAAATTACGAAATGGCAAGTAAGTCAAAGTCTGTAACTCCACATTTCACAATTTTCAAAATTTTCGGTTTATCGCGTATAGTTTTTGAAGCATTTAATTTTAAGAACTTCTTAAGTATGCGTTGTATTCTACAAACAATTACGAATAATTTGATACCTTAGCAAGAGGTGTGATTTCAGAATAAACCAACTTTTAAAGATAAAATATTCTGCGATCTTGAGCGTAATTTTTATTCTAAAAATATCTTCATTGAAGGCACATTTGGAAAATACGTCGAAACGATCTAAATATTTTTATACCTGTAAAATGCTTAAAAAATGTTCTCTAGAAGTGTGTAGTCATCAAATCAAAATTTTTTCGACTGTTCAATGGGTCCACAGTTTTGGCCGATTGTCTCCACTTTTGGAGATATCGGTACTTGAAACTTTGCTTCAATTTTAACTATTTTATAAAACAAACTCTCTCAGTTTTGAAGATATTTTACTAAAATTACTAAAATTTTGCTTGTATTTTAATACTTCCTTCACTATCTCATAAAATCGGTTCACTCTAAAATCTAGCTCCCATACAACTGATTGTCCAGAGACGTTGTTTTGTGTTATAACTCCTCCAATTAAGCAGGTAAAAATTTAGTATAGGTTCACTTTAACATATAGCACGCATACAATTTATTAATCAGATATGAAGTTAGAGATATAGCGTAAAAACACATATCTGAGTAATCAGTTGTATTGGAGCCATACGTCAAAGTGCACCCCTTTCGATAATTTTAAGGAATAATTAAAAAACCGTTATGTGGAAAATTTTAGTAAAATAACTTCAAAACTGCGGGAGTTATTTATAAAATAGTTAAAATTTAATCAAATACCGTTATCCCCCTGATAAACAAAAAATTTTCAGGTAAAAGTGTCACCGTTTTTGAAATATTTACATTTTTTCGAATTTTAAAAAAATCGTGCCTTTTCATGTGTTTTCTTTAACTGCAACTACAAACCGGGCAATACTTAGTAAAATTTTTATGTAAAATACTTCCAGATAGTTGCCTCTCCATACTCAAATGCAATGTAGTTAAAATATATTAAGGAACCATCATAAATTAGGACTATTTCGGGATTTTTAACTTTTTGATATTTTCTTCCCCAACTTTGACTATCTCGGGTGAAAAAAATGTACTGAGCTATAACTTTACATTACATAAAAAAATTGCTTATTTAATAAAGATTTCAGAAAGGTGCCACACTTACTGTTTTGAATAGAAAAAAAAAAGTTATAGCCGCTTTTGTGCGTAAAGGACTGAGACACGCTAGAATGTATTTAATAGATTTGAATTGAATTTGCTCTTGTTACCGTCAAATGACATGCTAAATAGTACATAATTACTTGCGTCTGACATTATTTTATGTTACTTACCATTTTCGCCATTTTCACTGAAAGTATTCTTTTGATAATGAGTGACAACAGTGCAAAATTTTATGTTCCTAGCTGCTTAAATGGAGGAGTTATAACGGAAAATCTTATATCTGAACAATCAGTTGCATGGGAGCTATAGGTTATAGTCACCCGATCTTTGCAATTTTAACTCTATGTTTTCTGTTGATAATGGGTGGAAATATTGCAAAATTTAATGTTCCTAGCTGCATAAATGGAGAAGTTATAACGAAAAATCTCATATCTGAACAATCAGAAGTATGGGAGCTATATGTTATAGTGGTCCGATTCTTCCGGTTCCGATAAATGATTAATACATTATAAAACTACATCCACCTACCAAATTTCATCCGGATATCTCGAAAACTGAGAGACTAGATTGCATACAAACAGACGGACAGACGACCATGGCTAAATCGACTCAGCTCGACGTTCTGATCATTTAAGTCTATCTCTTCTTATTCTGCTACTTACAAACATCGGACCAAAGTTCATGCTCATGAAAGGTATAAAAAGTACATTTACATTTTTATTTTGATTTTTTTTTTAAATTTTTAAATTCCTGTTACATTATTTATTTTCACAAATTTTGTAACGTATTTTACTAACATTCAGACGTATAATCCATTTGGTTTTGTTTGGTTTCCTATTCTCTAACTACTTTTATACGTTAATAACTTTTCGCTTTTTAGTGGGTCACACTAGAAATGAATATAAAGCAGAGACTGAAAATAAAAGTAAAATTATGCTATAACCTTTTTCAAAGGTACCATTAGACTCATCTCATATTGTAGATTGTGATTCCTCCATGACTTTTAAAAATCTGACTTTTATCATTTTGGGTAAATATGTAATACCGATTATATCTGCTTTTTAATTTTTTAAGGCAAAAATAAAAGTTAAAATTTGCCTTTTATTTTTTTTTGAGCAGAAAATAATCGGTAATTGTTGCCTTTTATTTTTTCAGGCAAAAATTAAAGTCAAAGTTACAAATCAAGTATTTCAGAGCTACCCTGCAGTGAAAACCCAAACCAGTTAGAAAAAATACTAGTTCATAAACTAGTATGTGCCTACCAGTTCGACATTTTCGAAGAACTTAAGCGTTCAGCGACATCTGCCTTTGAACTGCCAAAGCCTAAAATAAAACGCAATTAATTGCTTTTCTTACAAATGTGGGCTGTGGCGTCAGGTGAAGACTACTGGTTCTGGTTCTGGGATCGCAGGTTCGAGGCCGCTTGGAGGCGGTTAAGATTTTTAAAGTTAGATCAAAGTAAATCTAAGAATAACAAAAAAAACCCCTAAATAAAAAATATAAATAAAAGAAATATTATAAAAAAAAAAATTTAAAAAAAACTTTTCCCTGCACCAGGGCTTGAACCTGGTAGAGCTTGAACCTGGCCATTGCGACTGTTGGAGCGCCGCGAGCAAAAAGGCACACTAATGCTTTTCATAGGGGATGAATTGGCAGACTATCTCATCAACTGGTATGATGCTACCAGTATTTCTGCTAGTAGATGCTGATGCATAGCCTGACAATTGACATCTCGTAGGACATCGCAATGTTAAAAATACCAGTCGCTAACATTGAAAAAGGATAGAATGAAAACTAGTTGGGCTGAACCGCAAACTGGCAGAATTCTAGTTCACAACTTGTAGCTTTCCCTGCGGGTATGTATACTCGAATTTAATAGTTTTAAAGCTCCTATCTGGATTCCAATAACTCCCTAATACACAAATATCAGGGTTAGATCAAATCTAAATATCGTCGTTTAAAGTACAAACCCGCGTATCAACCAAATGCAAAACCGCGTATGTGAGGTTGCCTAAATTATTTTCTAGAGAGTAAAAACATTCATGTTTAAAAATTGTTCTCCTTTTATAAAGCAATCGCATTTCTGGCTAGTATATTTCAGGACGAATGGATAAGGCTTGAGTGAAGAGCTTCGGTGAGCAAATCCAATTTTTGGCAGCCAATCTCAGTTACGCGGTTTTGCAGAATCACGCGGTTTTGTACTTTAAACGACGATATGTATGTACTATGTATAAATACAATACATGAAGGCATCTTTTGTTACCGGCATCAGATCTGCACAGATCATTTGATTTTCAAAACTGAGGTTCAAAATTAAAGGGATTGGCCTCTAAATGTACAGCAAGGTATGAC